ACTGCTTAAAGCATGAGTGACGTAAGTGGATTAAACCAAATTACACAACCTGTAGAGAACACCTATGAAAGGCCTTCTTGCACAGAGAATATGCTTGAAAAATGGTAGCTGTCATTGGTATTCTTTTTGTTTACTTTTTTTCTTTTATGCCAGTACTATTCTTGAAGAATGCCCGCCAGCCTTGGAGTCCTAGCAAGACTTGAATACAAGCTCAGTCATGGTCTGGCTTTTTCCTTGACCAAACTCTTGGTTTCCTCTTCCTATAAATTGGACATCCCACCTCACACACTTGGAAGGTTTGTCTTCCACAAGATGCTCACGATCAGTGGCAAAAGTGCTGAGACCTAAGCCCACCTCCTTGGTGCCGGAAGCACCAATGTCCCAGTGTTCTCAGACACTTCGATAGTATAATCCTGTTTCCAGAAGTGGCTGCAGGTGGACTTTGTGGAAGACTCTAGTGACAGTGTGACAGAAGATGAATGGGAAAGCACCTACATTCCAGGCCCAAGGGGACAAAGGAGAATTAAGGTCCTCTTCTTTCTAATTTTCTCTATATGCTGAATATCTCATCTGTTTATCCTTCTTATTTTAAAATGTTTATGTTGCATGTACTTTGTGTGTGTGTGTGTGTGTGTGTGTGTGGTGCTGGGGAAGGAACCCAGGGCCTTACTCATGTTAGGCAAGCGCTCTACAACTTGAGCCACTTTACCAGTCCTTTTTTGTGTTGAGTTCTTGCAAACTATTTGCCCAGGATGGGTTCAAACCATGATCCTCCTGCTCTCTGGCTCTTGAGTAGCTAGGATTACAGGCATGAGCCACCAGTGCTTAGCTATATTCTTTTTTTGCTTTAGATTTTTTTAATTAATTTTTTTATTATTATTGTACTGGGGGTGCACTGTGACATTTACAAAAGTTCTTACAATATATCATAGTTGAATTTACCCTCTCCACTATTCTCTATTATCCCCTTTCCCCCCAACCTAGTTTCTTTTTATCTCTTACTTCTGCAAGTGTCATGGAGCCTTTTCCTTCTGATGAGACTTTAAGACTGCAGAAGGCTCAAGTTCAGTCTTGGCCAGGGCAGATAAGCCCTGAGCCTGGCTGCTTCTCTCTCTGCTTCCTACACAGGCCCCTGACACATTTGCTTGTTACCCCAGGGTCAGGACTTAAGTCTGAGTCCTAGGATCCTATCTTCCAGAGGTTTCATTCTCTGGGTCAATCCTGGCCCCCTTCTAGTTAGTTTTTCAAAATAAGGTTTTTGCTATTCCTAATAGATTTGTCACTCACCATTTACCTACCAAGACTCTGGCATAGATCATCTGTAATGCACACAAGAATATGCCAAGTTGGGCACTGGTGGCTCACAACTGTAATCCTAGCTATTTGGGAGGCTAAGATTGGGAGGATCTTGGTTCAAGGCCAGCCCAGGCAAATAGTTCACCAGACCCTCATCTCTCCAAAATAACCAGAGCAAAATGGACTGGAAGTGTGAATCAAGTGGTAGATAGATCACCTGCTTTGCAAGCACAAAGTCCTGAGTTCAAATCTCAGTCCTACCAGAAAAAAAAAAAACAAGGGGGGACCAAAACCAAACTGAGGCCAATCAAGTTGGCCAACATACAGGATTCAACCCAATTTGACTCCAAAGCAAATGTGGCTTCTGCTCTGTATTTTCCCACCACAAAACATTTCCTGTGTTCCTACACAGGTAACTTTCCCTTGAATCATGATTGCCCATGACCAACACTCCCTCTGTGAGGGTCAGGTAGAACAGTCACTGAGGCTGAATGGAATTGCTTACTACTTAGGTCAACTTGAGCTGTTCACATTCAATCTCTTCGGAATTATAATCACTGGTTTGCAGCCCTAGCTGCACAGCAGCGTCTGGGCAGATTTAGAAAGTATAGACCCTCCAGAGATCTAGACTCACATATGCAGGAACCCAGCTCAGGCAAGGTTTTTTCTTTTTTTAAAGCTTCTCAGATAATTCCATTATGTGCAGGCAGAGTTGAGAAATACTGTTATCATAGAAAGATAGGGAATGAAGACTGATGAAAGGGGAACAAGAAATCTCTATGCCCTGTGTACACACATTTTTTCTTTCTTTTTTTTTTTTTTTGAGACAGGATCTTGCTATGTAGCCCAGGCTGACTGGGAACTAAAAATCCTCAGACCTCAGACTCCTGAGTGGTGGGATTACAAGCATGTGCCACCACGTCCCAGCCTTGCACATGTTTTTCAGTGAAAATGTCTACTGGATTTTCTCATAGCATATGATTTATTATCAAGAAAAAGAATGAGCTTCTCAAAGTGTCATGCCTGAGGGAGCAACACTGTTTACAATACAGTTGTTCTTCAGTATCCACAGGGGATTGGTTCCAGGTTCCCCTGTGGATATAAAATTTTTAGATGCTTCTGGGTGCCGGTGGCTCACGCCTGTAATCCTACCTACTCAGGAGGCAGAGATCAGGAGATTGCTGTTTGAAGCCAGCCTGTGCAAATAGTTCTCAGGCAAATAGTTCTCAAGATCCTATCTCCAAAAACCCATCACAAAAAAGAAAAGGGCTAGCAGAGTAACTTAAAATCCTGACTGGCAATCATGAGGCCCTGAGTTCAAAGTCCAGTGCCACCTAAAAAATAAAAAAATACATTAAAAAAGTTTCAGATGCTCAAGTTATGTGTATGACAGCACATAGTATTTGCACAGAATCTACAACTTCTACATACTTATATATATATATAACCTCTCCTACATACTTCTAATCACCTGTAGATGACTGGGTTTTTGTTTTTGCCTTTCAAAAAGAGTTTAATAGGACTGGAGGTGTAGTTCAAGTAGCTGCTTTGCAAGTGTGAAGTGGCATCTTCAGCATTGCTTTCTGTTTTTCATCTAGTTTTCAGGCCATTCTTCTTAACTCCATTATTCTCTCTGCCTCTCTGGTGAGGCTATCTGTCTCCTCCTCACCTTCTTTATTTTCCACATCTGTCTCCAGATGTCTGCAGAAGCTACTCATTGGCTCTAGAAAGATGGTAAAAGATGGAAGACTTACTGGGATCCTCTCAAATATGGAGACTGGCTTGAGGTGAACTCTGGACAAGCATGCTGATGCCCAGACATCACCTTGCACTCCCAATGCTATTATTTTGAGGCATTTACAAAATCCATTGAGCCTAAAAGTTCTCCTCCACTGCTGTGGACTTGGCATCTCTGCAGTTTCCTGAATGTAGAGTTGCTAGAGCTTCTCCAACTTCTCTTCCCTTTGTCTTCACCTGCAACTGACCTCACTGCCAGGTTGGGAAGTTATTCTAGGTATCAGCCTCTTGAAGATACAGCTGCTCACTCTCACAGGGATTACAGAATCTGCACTACCTCTATGCTTGGCCTTGGTGACATGGACTCTTTTCTTCCTCTGTAAAGTCTGGGCTATCATATTTCTATGAAGCTTTCAAAGAATGGTTTGGTTTAGAAGGGTTTTTTGTAGGTTCCCCCATGATTATGGTTTTTCCTGAGATTTAGACAGGCTGAAATTTTTTTTTTTTTTTTTTTTTTTTGGTGATACTGGGGCATGAACTCAGGGTCTATACCTTGAGCCACTCCATCAGCTCTTTTTTTTGTGATGAGTTTTTCAAGATAGGGTCTCTTAAACTATTTGCCCAGGCTGGCTTCAAACCGAGATCCTCTTGATCTCTGCCGCCTGAGTAGCTAGGTTTACAGGTGTGAGCCACCAGCACCCAGGAAGTCTGAGATTTTTTTTGCAAATGCCTAGATGACTTATAATACCTAGTACAATGTTAATGCTGTATTAGGTATTCCTGAATGTCAGACGAATATTGGAGCATCAGGTGACCCAGTGACTACTAGAAAGTAGGATTGACGTGCTAAGAATGGCCTACAGAAATCTAGCACTGAGAATCAAACCCATGGCCTATAAATACTAGGGAAAATGCTCTACCACTGAGCTATATCCTCAACCCAAAATGCAGAAATGTTTTTGTTTTTGAACTCAGAGGCTCACCCTTGCTAGGCAGGCACTCTACCACTTGAGCCACACTCCCCCAGCCCTGCAGTTTTGTTTTTTTTTTTTTTTTGGCAATACTGGGGCTTGAACTCAGGGCCTACACTTTGAGTCAATCTGCCAGCCCTTTTTTGTGAAGGGTTTTTTCAAGATAGGGTCTGGAGAACTATTTGCCCAGGCTGGCTTTGAACCATGATCCTCCTCATCTCTGCCTCCTGAGTGGCATGAGTCACCAGCGCTTGGCATTTTTGAAACAGGGGCTCCCTATGTAGCCCAAGCTGGCCTTGAACTTGAGATCCTCTTGCTTCAGCCTTCTGAGTGCTGGGATCACAGGTGTGCAACACCATTCCTGGCTCCTTGCTAACCTAAAAGTATGTGAAAAGTTCCCCACTAATATTCATGTGCCAAGAGGGCAAAGCACTGATATGTATTTCATCTTTTTTTTTTTTTTTTCTGTGAAGCCTGGGGGTTCTCACAGGCCAGGCAAATGCTACCCCTAGTTCATATTTTTTTAGTGTACTGATTCCCAGTCCACTGCCCTCTCCCCTTTGATGCCCCCCCACCCCGCCCCCTGCCAGTATTGGGGTTTGAACTCAGGGCCTCTTGCTTGCTAGGCAGGTGCTCTACCACTTGAGCCACTCTGCCAACCCCCCTTTGATTCTCAGTGTAACTGCTGGTGAAAATATTAACCACATACCTTTTTTGGTTCTATTTTCATAGGGAAAAAACCTTGTTGGCAATGTGAATTGCTTTTCTTCTCAACATTTTTTGCATTGCTTCAATCTTCTAATGGTGATATTTAATTTTTATAAGCAAAACAAAACTAGAACAATGTTGAAAAAAAAAAATCCAGGGTTGGAAAAAGATGACTTACTCACTTATGTTTGCTCCTCCCTCCCCACCCTAAGCCATTGAGCAAACACAGTTTTCAAAACTTTCCAAGAAGAAAGAGCCAGGTTCAAATAATGCAACACACCCTACCTGTTTCCTTTACTCAGCACCATTTAATGTATTAAAGGACAGCTTTTTAAAAAAACTCAGAATAGGAAACATCACAGTCTCTTAAGAATAATACATATTAATACATTCACAAGATTCCAAATGAAAAACAAATATTACTCATGTTACAGATTTCCAATCTTCCTGACCAACAAAAAAACACAGTATGCAAACTGCATATCTTAACAGGTAACTATGAAATCTTATTTTGACAAAGACAGGTTTTTTTGGGTTTTTTTTGTTTTGGGGAGGGAGTTTAGTCAGACTATGTAGCCCACGCTACATAATCTTGCCTCAGCTTCCAGAGTACTAGGAGTGCTACAAAGACAAGTTTTAAAAAAATACAACCAGGCTGGTGGAATGACTCAAAATGGCAGAGCACCTAGCAAGTGTGAGGCCCTGAATTCAATCCCCAGTACTGCCAAAATGACAGTAACAATAATAATAAAAACAATACTGAACTGCAGCACCATGTGACTTCCTTAAATATCCTCAATCCCACTCTAGATGGTTTATGGAACTCATGGCCTCCACATTTCTGTATTCCCACCCAACATTTGAACCAAAAATTAAGTGTTTATACATGTGTCATTGAATGAGAACTACCATGACATGCTTAAAACAAAAAGCCAATGTATTCAACAATGTATTCAATGTTGAATGTTGAAAGAGGAGACTAAGCTTAGGTGACACTTAAGAGGTAGTAGGGAAACTGGACAGCATTTGTTACTTCACTCTGATTTTAGCACATAGGATTATGCCCAAAGGAACTAGGGATAACCTACCATTAACTATAAAAAGAAGACAATACTAATGTTTATGAAAAGCTTATAACATACGAAAATATTTAAGTTATAAAATTAAATGAAAAAGTAGTATTAAAAAACTGTATATACTAGTATAATCTCAACTATGTCAAATCAGCCAATCAAAATATGCCCTTGGAAGGATGAAAGAATAATTCAAAAGGTTAATGGTGGCTGTATTTAAGTGTGAATCTACAGTGATCTCTTTTTTTTTCTTTCTTTCTTTTTGGTGATAGGATCTCACTATGTCACCCAGACTGATCTTGAATTCCAGATCCTCCAAACTCAGCCTCCCAAGTACTGGGATTACAGTTGTGAACCACCATTCCTGACTCAACAATGATCTGTCTTCTTTTCTGTCTTTTCTAAATTTTTCTTTACTAGGGGTAACTGGGGTTTGAACTCAGGGCCTCATGCTTGCTAGAAAACTGCTCTACCACTTGAGTCTCGATCCTAGTCCTTTTTGCTTTTATTTTTCAGAGAGGGCCTTTTGTTCAGAACTGGCCTCAGACACAATCCTCATATCTCTGTCTGCTGGGTAGCGGGGATTATAGAGGTGCACAACCACACCAACTGTTTTTTTTTAAACTAATTAGTTACAAAAAAGAATGATGTAAGTATTAAATTTAATACTTTTAAATCCAGCCTAGAAGAAAGCACATGTACAACTATAAAACTTTAAAACATTCTAGGCTATTCTGTGAACCAGAAATTTAAAGTAACTGGCCTGAGTGTAGAATGCTTCATCATCTTCTCCACCTGGGTAAAAACGTAACCATCCTGCTGATGGAAAATGCTGAAACAGAGAGATTGAGGCAGAAAAATCATTAGTCTGAGGCCACCCTGCGGTTACATTATGAAACCCTGTGTCAAAGAAAAAAAAAGCCAACCAAATGGAAATGCCATGGAGTTATAGAAAGGAACAGAACTACCCACATCTATCTAGCAACAACTTATCTAAAGTACAGGAGCTGTTTCACACTAGAATCAAACATGAGTATGGCTCTTCCCTGCTATTTTCTATGTAGATGTCAAGTTATAAAAATGCTATGATGACAGCAACTAATTTAATATCAGATTTAGAAACAGAAACAAAAGTGTTGCTACAAGAGTGCACCAAGGAAAGTGAAGACTTGGAAAATTAGAAAAAGTGCTTTCTATAAAAATGAAATCTCTTTCAGATGTCTGTTTACTTATATACACTTTAAGGCCTCCCTTCTCTCCTCCAACAAAAGAAGAGGCCAACTCTCCAAACATGTCTGTTTATCCAACAATCATGGAATGAAGGCTTATGTGTTAGGCATTGGCCCTCTAAGAGGAGAAAGGCCTGACCCTGCCTCAAGGACATCTCGCTCTTCCCAAAGCAAGAGGTGGACACCTCACCAACCACAATACCCTCATTAAAAGTGCACACCACTGCTTCTTGTGACTAGAGGACATGCTGCAAATCTCATCATATTACTTACACAAACATCCTTATGCTGAAACTTTCCTGACTTACCAAGAGGCAAAACCACAACTACTTTCTCCTGATGAGTATTTAGAAAGAGCAGGGATTCAGTGACACTTTGCCCTAAACATCACAAAGCCCACTGAAGTCAGTTAACTTTCTTTTAAGCAATACAGCATACATTACTCCATGAATGAGGTCCTTTGAACCCAAGAGTAAGTGACCCAGTCCTATACCTAATTAAGACTCATTAATACCATCAAAAAGTCAGACGCAGAAATGCTAATTTCAATTAAATTCTTTAGTTTCCTCTTCCAGCCTGTTGATTTTCAATGTGCTCCTGCGTCAGCCGCTCCAGGTCTTTCCGTACATTGGGGTGGTCTTCTAAATCTTCATAAAGTGACCTGACGATGTCCAGCCTCCTGTAGTTCTCAGGTTTGACCAGGCTTCGCACAACCTGGAGGCACCGCTCTTTCAGAGTATACACTGCAAGGGTAGGAAACCACATCCTCAGTAGCAGGCTCAGGCCTCAGGACAAGGGATGAGCAAAAGCTCTGCCAACCACAGCAACTACATTACTTTAGCTTAAAAGATAAAAAAGGTGACAGGCGCCAGTGGCCCACGCCTGTAATCCCAGCTACTCAGGAGGGAGCGATCAGGAAGATTGAGGTTTGAAGCCAGCCTGAGCAAATAGTTTTCAAGACCTCATCTTCAAAATACTTAACACAAAAAGGAGTGGTGGAGTGGCTCAAGGTGTAGGCCCTGAGTTTAAGTCAGAGTATTGCAAAAAAAAAAAAAAAAAAGATGAGCACATGTACTGTGGCAGTGGTATGTCAACAGGTGCCTCACAGTATTCATGTCCTTGTATAGTAACTTCCCCTTAAAAATGAGCTGGGCCACGGGGTGCTGGCGGCTCACACCTGCAATCCTAGCTATTCAGGAGGCAGAGATCAGGAGGATCTAGGTTCAAAGCCAGTCTGGGCAAATGGTTTTGAAAGACCCTATCTCAAAAAAACCCATCACAAAAAAGGGCTGGTGGAGTGGCTCAAGGTGAAGGCCCTGAGTTCAAACACCAGTACTGCAAAAAAAAAAAGAAAAAGAAAAAGAAGAAGAAAAGAAAGTGAGCTGGGCCTGTGATTTGCTTCAACCACTGAATGTGGATCAAGTGACACTAGCAACTCAGTCTAAGACCTGGCAATTTCTGCTTTTCCACTTTTGGGACCCTTGAACTACGGTACTAGAGAGACCACGCCAAGAGAGACAGTCCCTAAAATGCCTTGAATGACAGACGGCCCAGACCCCAGGCAAACTGCTGCCAGAAGGCAGCCAAACCAGAGACTACAAATCAGCAAAAAAAAAAAAAAAAAAAAACTTAGCTTAACTCAGCCCAGCCTGCAGAATTGTAACAAGTAAAAATGGGTATTGTTATTTGTTGGGATGGGTATCACATGGCAATAGATAACAAAAACAGTGTGCACTTTGGGTTAATTCCATTCTTATTTCACACTCACTAGGAAACTTTCTCTTTAAACATTCTATAAGGCAAAATTTACCAAATTTAAGCAATGGTCTTCTTTGTATACACACTTCTTTATTTTTGTTTTATACAAAAATAAAAGGGTAGCATTATATTAAAAGGCTAGTCTTAAATTCGTAATCCTCCTGTCTCGGCCTCCTGACTGCTGGGATTACAAATGTGTCCACCATACCCAGCTTATCCACTTTCTTAAAACAGGATCTATGCATACATATTAGTTTGCACTTACAAAGCTACAGGTATTTGAGCTTTTTGTGGAGGGGGAAGAGTGTGAGAAAGGGTTTGGCTATTGTAATCTAGACTGGTCTTTTTTTGTTTTTTTAGACTGGTCTTGAACTCATGATCCTACTGCTTCAGCCTCCTGAGTATCTAAGATTACAAGCAAGCACCACCACACTAGTCTGGGTTTTTTACTCAAAAGAACATCAGTTTCTTAGGGCTCAAGCTAGTAAAATCATTTTAGCTTCAAACAAATAGTGAACTATTTGTTTTTTTTAAACCTCTGACACTGAGCTTAACTGGATTAAATTAAAAATATAACGTCATGGAGATGGAGATGTAGCTCAAGTGGCAGAGCGTCTGCCTTGCAAGCTCAAAGTCCTTTGTTCAAATCCCAGTATTGTCAAAAATACACACACACACCCCTCAACAACAAATAAGCCATGATATCTTATTCTCACACTTTGTCTCTGGGACTCCAGGGCGCAAGACTGTTCTGAGGTCAGGGAACCTCAAGGCATTCACAATTCTATAAGCAGATTCTTCAGACCATCTCTTAGGAGCCCAAAGCAGGTTGGGTGCCAGTAGCTCATGCCTGTAATCCTAATTACTTGGAAGGCTAAGATCAGGACTGTGGTTCAAGGCCAGCCTGGACAAATAGTTCACAAAACCCTGTCTCTGAAATAACCAGAGCAAATAGACTGGAGAAATGGCTCAAGTGGTAGAGTACCTGCTTTGCAAGTGCGAAGTCCTGAGTTCAAACCCCAGTTCCACCAAAAACAAAACAAGAGCCCAAAGCACTTTTGAAACACCACATTCTTGTTCAACACAGCACATATATAAATAAAATACTCCCACTTTATTTATGGTGGAAAACAGAGCCTTATAAAAAGGCTGGCAAAAATTAGTAAGAACGCTTTCCTTTAAGACTATCCTCTACTCACTACAATAGCCAACCTTAACTTTTTAAGAAGTAAAACTGAAGATCAGTACCTGGCAGTGTGATGTTGGCGAAAATAGGCTGTCCGTCAACATTGAGGGACGGCACAAACAGTTCAGTCTGGTTAACCAGGAGTCCATCATGCGTCCCCGCGTCTCGGAAGAGCCAGAGGTGACCTGTTAACACAGGCAGAGGCTGTTAAGGAGCCGCAGGTCTGAGTCACGCCTCTCTTCTCTATCCCCCATACCACATGAAACACTTGTCTCTCTCTGGTTAAATGTCATACCAAGTCCTTCCAGTTGCATTACAACAGCAATCCTTAGAAAAGATCCATTTACAAATGAGAAAACAGATATGAGGAAAGCAAACTACTTGTTCAAGACAATAGAGACAGAAAGTAAATCTGCAACAATGGTGAAAAAGCAAGGCCTAGGTAAAGTAAGTGATTGCAAATCACAAAGACTGCAATCTGTAAGGGAGAAGACCACTGAGTCCTCAAATCTGTGCTTCTTAAAAACCAGGAGATAGCCAGGCAACAATGTCTCACAAATGAAATCCTAGCTACTTGGTAGGCTGAGCTCAGGAGCATTGTGTTTTGAGGCCAGCCTGGGCAAAGAGCTTGAGAGACCCCCCATCTCCAAAAACTCAAGAGAAAAATGGGCTAGAGGTGTGGCACAGGAGGTAGACTACTGCTTTGCAAGTGCAAAGCCCTGAGTTCAAACCTCCTCCCACCAAAAACCAAAAACAACCAGGAGATGCAAAAGTAGCATGCTGAGAGAGTGGGCAAAGAGAAAAGGGTATATGCTGTATGAATGGGCAAAACTAATGCACGATGAGAAAAGCTTTATTAGAATGGGTAGGTGGTCATGGGAAGGAAGGGGTTGATCAAGAAGGGGCAGGAGGGACCTCAGGGCATCATGGAAATGTTCTAATCTATACTTGATCTAAGTGTTGCTATAACTGCCAAAATTCATCAAGCCCTAAGATCTGTGCCTTTTACTGTGTAAATCATGCATGAATTTTCACATTCCAAAAAAGGAGGGTGGGTAGGGACATGAGGAAGGAGACAAACTGTCAGAACTAAGATTTTATTTAAGGAGAAAAGAAGCTGTCTTAAGATAAATATAGCACTTCTTCCGGAGGTATAAACTTATTTGAAGATTTTGGGGAAAGTTTAGGAAATATAAACTGGTTTAAAAAAAAATGTTTTTCATTTGTTTGTTTTTTGGAACAGGGTCCTGCTATGTAGCTCAGGTTGGCCTCCAACTCTCTATCCTTCTGCCTCAGCCTCCTGAGTGCTGAGATTACAGGAAGATGTGCCACCATGTCCAGCTAGTGAATTTTTTGTTGTGATAAAATATATAACAAAATTTCCATTTAAACTTTTCTTTTCTTTTTTCTTGAGACATAGTCTAGCTATGCTGCCCTCAAATCTCAGACTGACCTCACATTAATGGGCTCAAGTGATATGCCTGCCTCAGCCTTCAAAGTCACTACGACTACAGGTATGTACCACCATGTCTGGCAATTTTAACTATTTTTACACGTACCATTCAGTGGCATTAGCACATCCACATGGTAATTTTTTTTATTTTGGCGGTACTGGGGTTTGAACTCAGGGTGGTATGCTTGGTAGGCAGACACTCTAACACTTGAGCCACACCCCTATCCCTTTCGGCTTTTAGGTATTTTTCCAATAGGGTCTCCATTTTATGCCTGGGCAGGCCTGGACTTCAATCCTCCTATTTATGATTTATGCTTCAGCATAACTGGGATGACAGGTGCACACTACCACACCCAGCTATGGCAGAGATAGGATCTCTTGAGCTTTTTGTCCACAGCCTTGAGCCTCAGTCCTCCAGATCTCCTGCCTCCTAAGTAGTTAGGATTACAGTCCTGACCACTGTGCCCAGACACATGGCAAGTAATTTAAAACATATTTTTATATTAACTCAGGCAAAGATAAATTTTGAATACAAAATTCAAACAATTTCCTACATGCAATAGATTACAAAAATACTGACTTCTGGAAGTATTGTGTTTTTCCTCATCAAATACTACAAGTCTGGTGGAAAAGATTGAGACAGTGTGTCTCATGCAGTGCCCTCTGCCTTGTGGTGATGCAGCAAGGCCACCTCACCAGATGCGGAACAGATGTGGTCTCTTGACTTGGATTTTCACACTCCAGAACTCTAAGAAATTTTTCTTATAAATTAAAAAAAAAAAAAAAGAGATTGAGAAGCATGAGCCTATTAAGTACACCATCCTCAAGGAAGAAAAGACCCCTAAGAAAACCCAGGGCTACTGTGCGTCAAGGCCATGGGAAGATCAGCGCCTCTCCATCTGGTCTCCCCTCACCTGCAGAACTACTCCCAGCCACTCTGCAACCTGGGCATGCTTTTCAGTATGCAACTGGCAATGTCAATCACCTTTTGAGCCCCGGGAACCGTGGCTCACGCCTGTAATCCTAGCTACTTAGGAAACAGAAATCACGAGGATAGCGGTTCAAAGCCAGACCTGCCAAATAGTTCCTAAGGCCCTATCTAGGAAAAACCCATCATAGAAAAGGGCTGCATAGAGCGCCTACCTAGAAAGCGTGAGGCCCTGAGTTCAAAACCCAGTGCCGCACCTTTTGACGTTCCTCTCCCGCCATTCCATATCTACACCCCCGCCCCCTAACCCTCCAGGTCTCAGCACGCGCGGTCCCTCTCTCCCCAACTCAACTCCTTCTGTGGGGTGGCTGAGGCCCACTCACCTGCTCCCCTCCCCAGGGGCAGGCGCATTGCATGGAGCCCCCGTCTGCGGGCGGGGTGCCCGGTTCCCGCTCCCACAGCCCGCGGAGCCCCGTTCCTATCGCTGCAATTGGGGACTGTGGTCTCCAAGAAGGCAGGGACCCCAGGAGGAAGTGGACCACAGGAGGCGTCGGGGCCCGCGTTCGGGACGGACGCGACACTTCTGGGGAGGGGTATGTGCGCCCGGAAGGGAAAGCCCTTCCCAGGCCAGCGGCGTCTGTCCCCACCTCTACGGCCTCCGCTCCTCGCCCGTAAAACGGGAAGGACTGTCATTCCCGAGTTTTCTAGGACGGGGCGATGGGGAGGCAGGCCGGGATATGGTGGTCGCGGGTACCGAGCCGCGTACCTCGGTAGCTGTGGATGCGGCGGCCCGTGCCCGGCGGCAGCGTCGGGTAGGGCTGCGGCTCGCCGTCAAAGTTGAGCCACACCGGCAGCACGACGCGCGGGCTGCGGTTGCAAAAGATGACCTGGGAGGGCTCGCGTGAGTTCACCGAGCGCAGCACGGGTCGGGGACGCCGGGCCTCCATCTCCTCCTCGACGCCCGACGCCTCCGAGTCCGACTCTTCCGGGCCGGACCCCTCGGCGCTCGAGCTCTCCCGACCGAACTCCTCCGGGCCGTACTCTTCGGCGCCCTCCTCCGCTACTTCGTCTTGGGCCGCCTTCCGGGGCATTTACTTCGGGAGCCAAGACAAGACCGTTCTGCTCGTCTCGGGATTCGCGGGTCGGATGCAGGCGGGGCGGAGCATGCGCGCATGTGTGCGTGCGCGCTCCCGGTAAGGCACGCGTACTCGCCGCGCGCCCTCGACGGGGATAGAAAGCACCAGTAGAAATGGCCCGCAGGAGCCCGCGCGCATGCTCAGTTGGATCCTCGAGTCGGAGGCGGGGCTTGGGCAGAGCCAAGCCCTGACAGAGACCGAGCCGAGGCTCCCCATCATTGCATTTCCACTATAAATTTCTCCCTCCACCCAAAGATATTTTTTCTTATTGGCGTACATTGGATTGTACTTAGTAAGGGGCTTCAGAACATGTCCATAGATGCCTGTAATGTAATTTGATCATATTCACCCCCTGGCCTCTCTCCACCTTTTCCCTTCCCCTTCCACCTGCCTGGTAGTCCCCCTTTTACTTTCATGATCTTAATTGTTAGGTTTCGTTTTATTTTCTCCTAAACGTCACAAAAGAGGGAAACATACAAAACCTGTCTCTGTGGAACTAGTATATTTCACCTCACACGATCTCCAGTTCCATCCATTTTCCAGCAAACGTATTTTTTGACAGTTTACTTTCATTCTCTTAAGACCTTCACGATTTTGCCCTATCTTTCCAACTATCTGTACTGTTGTTTCGGTTTTTTTTTTTTTTTCGTTTTATGGTTATTTTGGGTGACAGAAGTTGAAATGTTCAGCAGAATACTAAAAAGAAAGTTTCCCTCTCACGTTTGTTCCCAGCTCATCTGAAGGTCCCTGGAGGCAATATGTATTACCAGTTCTTTCTTTTCTTTCTGTCTCCTTCTCCTTCCTCCCTCCCTCCCTTCCAAGATACTTATGCATGTGAAAGCAAACACATTTAAGGAGGAAATTTTATATTAGTACCATCAGTGGAAGTTCACTATCATTTGCCATAGAACATTACAGTGAAACTAAAAAACAATGAAAAATAATCCAGCTACTCAGGAGGCAGAGATCAGAGGAATTGCGGTTCTAAGCCACTGTGGGGAAAGTAGTTCAAGAGACCCTATCTTAAAAATAACTCATCACAGAAAAAAGGGCTGGTGGAACTCAAGGTGTAGGCCCTGAGTTCAAACCCCATTACTGAAAACAGATAAAAGAAAATAACCAACACAAAAAAGGCTGGCATACTGGCCAGCAGAAACCTTTTTTTTTTTTTTTTTTTTTAATTCTAGCCATTCTAACAGTTGTGAGGTGGTATTTCATTGTGGTTTAGATTTTCTTTTTATCTTTTTTTTGAGAGTATAGACAAGAAGTTAATTAAGAGAAAGAACAAAACTCCCATGTGAGGCAGGGAGGGGTCCCCAATAGGTTGCCTTTTTTTTTTTTTTTTCCGAGAGACAGGGTGTTCTGTGTTGCCCAGGCTGGTCTCAAATTTTGTGGCCCAACACATCCTGTCTGGAACTACAGGTATGTATTATACACAGTAATTTATGTTATCTCAGAAATTTCTGTTCAGACCCTTTGCCCATTTTTAAATCAAATTGCTCTATGTTTTTTAAAACTTTCTTTTTGGTGGTACTGGGGTTGAATTTGGGGCCTCACACTTGCTAGGCAGGCATTCTAACCACTTGAGCCACCCTAGGAGTCCTGATTATGTATTTTAAGTATTAGCCTCTTATCAGATGCAAGATTTTCAAATATTTTCTACCAGTCTGTTGATTGTTTCCTCCGTTCTTTTTTTTGGCAGTACTGAGGTTTGAACTCAGGGCTTCACACTTGGTAGGCAGGTACTCTTATCACTTGAGCCACTCTGCTAACCCTTTTTTGTGTTGGGTGTTTTCGAGATAGGGTCTCTCAAACCATTTGCCCAGGGCTGGCTGGGAACTAAGATCCTCCTGATCTCTGTCTCCTGAGTAGCTAGGATTACATAAGTGAGCTGCCAGCACCCTGCACACATCAAGCTTTTTTGTTAAGATGGGCCTCGCTAACTTTTTGCCTGGGCTAGCCTCAAGCCTCAGTCCTCCTGATCTCCACCTCCCAAGTAGCAGGGATTACAGATGTGAGCCGCTGTGCCCAGCTTGAGTAGGTTTTCTTATTGTTGAATTCTGACAGTTCTTTATGTATTTGCACAGGCCACTTTTAACGCTTTTTTTCTTTGTGTGTGTGTGTGTGTGTGCGTGTGTTTGAGAGACTGGGGTTTGAACTCAGGGCTTCATGCTTGCAAAGCAGGCATTCGTCACACCTCCAGTCTATTTTGCTCTGGTTATTTTTTGGTGGTACTGAGGTTTGAACTCAGGGCCTCACACTTGTTATGCAGGTGCTCTGCCACTGAGTCAGTCCACTAGCTACTCTGATTATTTTGGAGATGGAGCCTTATGAACTGTTTTCTGGGGCTGGCTTGAACCTTGATATTCCTGATCTCAACCTCCCAAGTAGCTAGGATTACAGGCATGAGCCATCGGTGCCCAGCTTCAATGCTTTTCAAATACTTGTGTATTCATAATCTATACTCTTTCACAATGTAAAAATTACAACCAAAAAGTAAAACAACCGGAAACAAATGTTTATTTCCACATCTAATAAAATTTTGGCCTATGATTTCCCATTTTAATAAAGTTGATTCTCCACTCCCCCTGTATGTGGATGTCTTTTGTTTTGTTTTAGATAGGGTCTCACTGTAGCCCAGGCTGGCTTCAAACTCCTGATCTTCCTGCTTTAACATCTGGAGTGCTGGGATTAAGGCATGAACCACCATACCCAGCTCTCCGTTTGTTGTCTGGATTACTTAGAAACATCCATTGAATGACACACCATAAGCTCCATGAAAATAGAAACTGTGTCTTGTCGTCCTATGTCTCCCGCCTATTCCTCGGGGAGTTGGGGTCAAACCTAGTGCCTAGGCAAAGGCTCTACCAATGATCTATACTCCCAGGTGTTTCACATCATTTTATCCATAGTGTCTCACACACAGTGGACATCCAAAGTATTCAATGCTAATAAGTAACTTCTGAGACAAAATGCTTGTCCAAACCAAATGGAATTACTTTACCATTTATTAAACTGGAACATTTTATCTAAAAAATTGTATTACAAAATGTTTCCCCTTATAACTTATTTTCCATGTTTACTCTGGAAAGAAAGTGGATTTGTCACATTGAATAAGTTCAGGTATGGAGAAAATAACCTCAATTTAAAAGTGAACTGTGATGAATACACATTCTTTGTACTATGTCTTGCAACTTTTAAGTCTGAAAATTGCCTCACAAAAAATTACCTTTTAAAAAATGTTATGGCTGGAAGATCAGAGTAAGACACAATACTGATCTCCACTTTACAGCCTTTGTTTTTTTTTTTCCCCTTTTTGGTAGTACTGGCTTGAACTCAGGGCCTCACACTTATTATGCAGGCACTCCAACATTTGAGTCACTCTGCCAGCTCTGTTTTGTGTTGGGTATTTTTGAGATAGGGTCTCCCAAACTAATTTGTCTGGGCTGGCTTCGAACTCCTGATGTTTGCCTTCTGAAAACTGCTTTAATATGAAAACACACGTAATCTATGCCTAAATAGCTCACTGGTTTCAAATTCTTTTTAACTTTTCCGTACATAAGTGAATTAAGCTAAGATACAGGGCAGATGACATTTTCAAGCATAAAGGAATGAGATTTCCTAGAATGTTCTTACAGATGGCTGAAAGATTTAACAAATTTAGTTCATGTCTCACATTAGAAAACAGGAAGATCAGTATTTCTTCAGAAACCATTAAGTTTTCATGAGGAAAGGCAGAAAGGCCTAGTATGGGTTAACTTCTCTCTACCATCTAACCTAGGAAGAAGGAAAAGTACTCATGGTGAGGCAACTGAGAGCAATCTGAATTCACACCACCAATGTCTCTGAAACCCAGTCTCCTTATGATTTAGATAAAAACAACCATCCTGTCAACATCTTAGCTTTGTTTTAAGCCGAGCTTACTAGCTTTTAAACACAGTATTGCTTTAAAACAATAGAAAACAGGAAATAGAACAATTCAGGAAACCTAGATTAAAATGTGAAGAGTAATTTAGTCCTCCTCAGTGAAGGTAACATGTTAGCATTCTAGCAATATAGCTGCATAAGCCAGTGACACCTTGAAGACAAAAGAGCAAGGAGCTGTGAGCCAAGATGTACGTGAGTTGAGAGTAAAATTCCAGTTCTTGGAGCCCAACCAAGGCCTTCTGGAAGGGAGAATGAAGCTGCATCTTTCTCCTCCACAAGCATCTCTATCTCGGAGATAGCTAGAGGAAATGCTAAAGTAGATTAAATTCCTCATGCAAGACTTTCAGAGAAATTCAACATCCTGGGGCTAAGGCTGTGTGTGGTTCGGTGGTCAAGAGTATGCTTAGCACATTCGGGGCTGTGTTCAATCCCCAGCACACACACGTGCACAGAAAGAATGATGGTGTGAGGAAGTTATAATACATGGTATGTGATTGGCTAAAGTAGCTGAGTACAATGAAAGGGCACTGGACTAGTAATGTAAAAAACCAGTTTCAATATGGTCATGCCACATTCAGAAGTGAAAATGGCTACAGCAGTCTCAGTGAAGTAGGTCTGGGTTCAAATCCCAGCACCTTTCCTTATTTTGTAAGATATGAGCAAATTCCAGCCTCTCTGAACTTGTTCCTTACCTATTACATAGAGTTAAGAATGCCTAACTTAGCCAGGTACCAGTGGCTCACGCCTGTAATCCTAACTACTCAGGAGGCAGAAATTAGGAGGACTATGGTTTGAAGCCAGCCCAAGCAAGTAGTTCGCAAGACCCTATCTTGAAAAACTCTTCACAAAAAAGGGTTGGTGGAGTGGCTCGAGGTGTAGGCACTGAGTTCAAACCCCAGTACTGCCAAAATAAACAAAACAAAAGACACACACACATAAAGAACTGCAACTGTTTGAAATATTTTGAGGCCAGACATGGTGGCAGATGCCTATAATCCAAGTACTCCAGAGGCTGAGGCAGGAGGATCTCAAGTTTGAGGCCAGGCTATGCTACATAGCAAAACCCTGTCTCTAAATAAATAACCCTACTTTATGGGGCTCTTTTGAGTATTAAATGAATTAAAGTGCATAAAGGACTCAGTACATTGTAGCACGCAATAAATTACACATACTAATAAATATATATTTATATATATTTAGAGAGCCTCATGTAAAAAGGGGGTGATAAAACAGGAAAATATTTAAGATACCTTAAAGCACTATGTAAGATGAAGGAATTCCTACTCTAGAGGAGGAGAGGTTCACTAGTTTCCCACAACAAATGTTATTAGTCGCTTCTTCCAGTCAGGTTACCATTAAGCAACATGGTATCATTTGAGGTACTCTCTTAAAAAGTTAATAGCTTTAATAACAGATTAGCATTATACAACATTTGTTTTCACTGTAATCTCAAGCTTTTCTTGCCTATATAGATCACTTTTGCCCCTATAACTATCTCATGTTAGTCCTTACACATAGCCCGAAACCAGTGTCTGTTAAACTGGCCACAGAGCACCAGGTAATACAATATTTGAGCGTTATTTCTTGGTTGGGAGCATGGCTCAAGTGGTAGAGTGCCTGCCTAGTAAGTGAAAACCCCAAATTCAAACTCCAGTACCAACGAAAAAAAATTTTAACTCAAGGCCTCATGCTTGCTAAACAAGTGCATTTACCACTTGAGCCACTCCATCAGCCCTTTTTTATGTTGGGTATTTTCAAGATAGGGTTTCATGAACTATTTGCCCGACTGGCTTCAAACTACGATCCTCCTAATTTCTGCCTCCTGAGTAGCTAGGATTACAGGTGTGAGTCATTAGCACGAGCTCTTTCTTTTCTTTCTATCTTCCTTTTTTGAGATAGGGTTTCAGTATGTAGCCTAGGCTGGCCTCAAACTTGAAATACTCCTGCCTTAGTATTTTGAGTGCTAGGATTACAAGGTGGGCACCATTACCCCCAACTCCTAAGTATTTTTTTTCTTTACCCTGGAAAGGAGAAATCTTAGGAGTAATAAACTGAAAGTGACTTTAAAAGCACTCTACAGACAAGCTCATAATTTTGAAAAGACCACTTATCACAGTATAGATGTCAGGTATTTCCATTCTAAGATGGTATTTTTATTTATTTATTTTTTTTCTTTTCTTTTTTGGTGCTGGGATCGAACCCAGGGCCTCGTGAATGCCAGGCAAGCACTCTACCACTGAGCTACATCCCAGCCCCTAAAATGGTATTTTTAAATGTAAGAACAGGTTAAGTACCCCTTAGGCAATTACCTGGAATCAGAAGTGTTTCAGATTTCTTTTTTTTTGGTACTGGGGCTTGAACTCAGGGTGTCACATTGGCTAGGCTTGCTAGCCAAGTGCTCAATCATTTGAGCCACTCCACCAGTCCCACAATTTTTTTTTTTTTGATTCTGGAATATTTGCACATACATAATGAGATATCTGGGGGATGGGACACAGGTATAAACATGAAATTCATTTGTATTCTATGTATAACTCATGCATAGAGCCTGAAGTTAATTATATGGATGCTGGCAACAGACTGTAAGCATCACGTCTGTACCTTTTATTGGAGTATAAAGCACCTACAAACTAAGTACTTGGTAAGTGTCTGCTGAATGACTAAATGATTCCTAGGATGAATTAAACAGCTGAAGTCCAAACATAGGAGTTCAGGCTGGTAAGCTACCTTGGCTTTGAATCAAACCTACAGATCAAATTTCTGTGGAATCGTAAGCCCATCTTGAGCTCCTCTTCCTGCCATAATCACAGCAGCCAGATAAAGTTGAGAAGTTTTATTAGGGAAATATGAGAAGCATAGACACCCCAAGTGACAGAAAGAAAACTCTGAAAATATCCCTTCAAGCCAAATGGGGGCCTGGCCTTGACCTCCCCAAAACAATAAACTGGTGGGTTTACAAGAACATTCTCTGGCAGCCACACTGCCAGGATGTGAGTGTCTCAGCCAGGATTGCCCTCCACCTCCCACCACAGGTGGAGAGAAGACAAAGACTGTTGACAGAATCAGTGCAGAGGCAATGAGCTGTAAGGAAAGTCTGAGAGAAGAGGACAGTGAGAAGGAGAGAGGACCTTAACAAACAGTCCCAGGCTTTTGGCTCTGAACACCTCAAAAACATTGACAAGTAGTTCCATAAAGTGTTACTCAAAAGGTAAAACACCTAATGTTCTTTCCAAGAGTTCCCCTGTACCTCTCCCCCATGCCAAAATCACACTGGCAGATGTACATGGCAGAGCCCAAAGGCCACACTTTTGAAAAAAAGAAAAACAAGAAAAAGCCCTGTTGCTCTTTAAGGAGAGAAGGAAGAGCAGAAGGCTGCTGGGGCCTTCCCATGTGGCCTGTGTTCTGTACAGCAACTTCCCAGCAGCAGCATGGCACAGTTCTAGGTGAGTGTCTCACCTTTTGTCACCTGTCAAAGGAAAATTGACATTTAGATAAATTCAGAATGACTAAAGGTATCTAAAAACTCTTATTTTAGATTCTACACAGTAAGAAATGGTAGAAAAGATGGCTTTAGAGTCATAGAAAGCCAAATCCACACAAAGTACTTAACTTCTCTAAGCCTGTTTCTGCTTAAGGTTTGTTCAGTAGTAAGTGAAGTATGCATTCTCTCTGGGATAGCTCTTGCCCACCATACTCACCCGGGCTTCAATGTACTCTATTCTCCGCTCAAGAGCTGTCAATTTCTCGTTTAGTGTTGCGAGTCTTGAACGACATGACATATCTAATAAAAGAAGACTGATGTTCAGGATTAATGACATTCTAAACACATGCACACATGCACCGTGAAAAGGAACAACGTCTCATACACTGTACACATAGGAATTGAGGGGAATAAGATGAGAAATATCTTAGCAGCATAGTTGCTTAGACGCTGCTGAACATCCTACAACAAGGGTGGCTTGCAGAGAATAGTGGCCCCCAAAAGATGTTCATGCTTAATCTCTGGAATCTGTGAATATATATTATACACGGCAAAAGGGACTTTGCAGATTATTATAAGGTCAAGAATCTTGAGATCCTGGATTTTTTTCAGGTGGTTCTTACATAACCAGAAACCTATAAACATCCATGAGAAAGGCAGACGAAGGAGATCAGAGATGAGATCAATGAAGATGTTCAAAGCATGAAAGGGATTCAACCTGGTACTGCAGGCTTTGAAGGGGGAAGGAGACCGTAGCCAAGGAATGCAAGGGAACTTTGTTTTGGTGACACTGGGGTTTGAACTCAGGGCCTCATGCTTCCTAGCAGGTGCTCTTATGACTTGAGCCACTCCGCCAACCTGCAAGAGAACTTTAGAAGCTAGGAATAGTCTCAGCAAAGAAACAGATCTCAATTATATAACCATAAGAAAGTGAATTCTGCCAACAACCCACTGAGCAAGAAAATGTGATCTCACAGAATCTTTAAAAAGGAAGGCAGCCCAGCTGACACCTTGATTTTGGCTCGGTGATCAGTGCAGATTTCTGATCTACACATTGGTAAAATAATAAATTTATGTAGTTTAAGCTGTGGAAAATTTTGGGGGGGTTTACTGAGAATTGAACCCAGGGCCTCTCACTTGCTAGGCAAGCAATCTACTGCTTGAGCTATACCTTCAGTCCTAAGCTGTGGAAATTTGTCATGGCAGCAACAGAAAACTAACACACCAAGGATGTACACATGGCCATTTGTCAACCAGCCAACTAAGAGTTTTGAGAGAAAGAAAATACAGATGTTCCTCGACTTAAGATGGGGTTATGTCCAGAAAAACCAATCAGAAGTTAAAACATTTAAGTGGAAAATGCACTGAATACAACTAACAGAATATCATAGCTTACCAACTCAGTACACTGAAGAATATCAGTTGTTTACCATGTTCACATGGCTGCTGAGCTGTGTTTCACTCACATTCCCCCTGGCATTACAAGTGCCATACCACATATTGCTAGAGAAAATATTAAAATTCAAAATCTGAAATAAAGGGCTGGGAGAGTGGCTTAAATGGCTCAAAGCCTAGCAAGCATGAGGCCTTAAGTTCAAACCCCAGCCACCACCAAAAAAAAAAAAAAAGCCAGGCACTGGTGGCTGACATCTGTAACCCTAACTACTTGGGAGGCTGAGATCAGGAGGATTGCAGTTCGAGGTCAGCCTGGCAAATAGCTCATGAGACCTCATCTCCAAAAAATAACCAGAGCAAAATGGACTGGGGGTGTGGCTCAAGTGGTAGAGTGCCTGCTTTGCAAGTGCCAAGCCCTGAGTTCAAACACCAGTACCACAAAAACAAAGAAGCAGTACTTTCTACTGAACATCTATAACTTTATCATCATGAAATTAAAAAATCTTAAGTTGAACCATCACTCACAAGCCACAGACTGTAAGGTTAACAGAAATGTAGAAGCTAAGAAAGCAGTGGAAATTATGGGAAGGAAGATATTAGAGGATTTGAGCTCTTAGAAGCTACGTCCTCAAGGAGGATACTTAACTGATTATTTGCAGAGGCCTTTTAGAACTTGAGAAAATGAAGAACATTAAAAACCCTGCAGAACCTAAATTTCATCTGTGAAAAACGGCCCAAATCCTTTCTCTTCCTCTACTTTTTCCGACCTTCTTTCACCATCTCACCCAATAGGCAACCCAGATTTCCCCTAAAATAACTTTTCCTCTGCAAACTTCTCTAACTGAAACTATTCAACCATTCTTTCTCCAATTATTCTCAACATATGAGAAAAAAAGCACCTGTGCATGGTGATTATTTCCTGTTACTTCCTTCCAACAATTTTGTTCAGTCACCTCTCAATAACCTTCATTTCTTTCTTTCTTTTACTTTTTTTCTGAAGGACTGGGATTTGAATTCAGGGCTTGATACTTGCAAAGCAGGTGCTCTACTGCTTAAACCAAGCCTCCAATTCATTTTCCTATGGTTATTTTGGAGATGGTGGTCTCTTGAACTACTTGCCTGGGCTAGCCTCTAACCTTAATCCTCCCAATCTCAGTTTCCCAAGGAGCTAGGCATGAATCACCTGCACCCAACCAACCTTCACTTCTTTTTTTTGTGGTACTGGGGTTTGAATTCAGGGCCTACACCTTGAGCTACTCCACCAGCCCTTTTTCGTGTTAGGTATTTTCGAGATAGGGTCTCATGGAATTAATTGCCCAGAGCTGGCTTCAAACCATGATCTTCCTAATCTCTGCCTCCTGAGTAGCTAGGATTACAGGCATGAGCCACGGGCGCCTGGCTCAACCTTCACTTCTTAACTCTAAAATATTCACTCTCTGACAGTCTCCCACACAATGATTCAACACTTTCTAACAATTTTCCTTCTCATCTCCTCCCTAGCTATTTTGCAAGTGCTTCAGCATTCATTTTGACAAATCTTCCTACACTCTGATCTTCCCTCAACTTTCACTTCATCCTGTCCAAATCTTACTCATCTTGCCTGCCCAAACACTCTTCATCAAGACTCAGTTCAAATTCTACCTGTGAGATGTCTTGCCATCTATACATTTGTAAGTTATTCATGTACTTGGTCTTTGTCACATCCTCCTTTGGGTAAATATTTAACAAAATGTTCATCACTATTACTTATGATGATGAAAACCCAAAAATGAATGGCCATCATTAGAGGAATGGTTTATAACATGAGGGATTACTAAACAATCAGTCAAAATCACAAAGTATCTGTGTCTAGGGTCATTCCCCACACCTAAAATTTGCTTACAGCCCAACTCTTGCACCTTCTATTCATTTTTTTTCTTTGTTTCCATGTTATTCTTTCTATTTTTTTTCTTTTTTTTTTGCAGCACTGGAGTTTGAACTCAGGGCCTCACCCTTGCTAGGCAGGTGCTCTACCACCAAAGTCACTCCGCCAGCCACTTTTTTGTGATTTTTTTTTTTTTGTGATTTTTTTTTTGAGATATGGTCGCAAGGAACTATTTGCCCAGGCTGGCTTCAAACCACGACCCTCCTGATCTCTGCCTCCTGAGTAGCTAGGATTACAGGTGTGAGCCACTGGCACCACCTCTACTCATCCTTTTTAAAAAACAGCTCTATTGACATGTGATTTATATGCCATAAATTTCACCTGCAAGAAGTATACAATTTAATGGTTTTTAATATATTTGCAGAGTTGTACAAACATTAACATATAATCCAATTTTAGGATACTTAGAATATTCTCATAATCCCGAAAGGAAATCTTATATATATTATTACTGTCACCACCCCGCCTGCCTTCCCTCAGTCTCTAGAAACTATCCTGCTTTGTCCATCTGGACATTTTGTTATTGTTGCTGTCTTTTTTTTTTTTTTTTTTTAATTGAGAAGGTGTTGGGGATCAAACTCAGGCCCCTGCATGCAGGGCAAGTGTTCAACCACTGAGCTATGTCCCTGGCCTCCTTGTTTTTAACCTTGCTTTCTATCTGCTAGTGCCATTCCCTCCAATTCCCAGGTCTAGCTTGCACATGAGTACCTCATCACCCCATGTCTCCTGGAATCACTGCTACTTTCTTTCAGGACTGGCCAAAACAAGACCAAGTTTCTTTTCAGTCTGGATTTTGGAAACTCAAAAGGACACATTATGGATGCTATTCAGTAAGCACATGAATATTTTCTCTGACAACCTCTTATTTTACATGAAAAGAGATACACCAAGATTATGGGGGTAGAGAATGAGAGGGAAGGTTCCTTCCTGGATGGCTGTTCTCGTCTAGCTGTCAATTTGGTGATGATTCAGAATCTAAGAACTATACTATGCTACTAGCCCACACGGAAAAACACTGTTTAGGAATACAAAATGTTCAACTGCAGAAACTTCAGTCGTATTTCAGATTCCATTAAATATACACTGGTTCACGGGCTGGGGGCATAGGTTAGTAGCAGAATGCCTGCCTAGCACACATGAGGTCCTGGGTTCCAACCTAAGCAATGCCAAGGGGGAAAAAAGCGTACACAGATTCAAATAAAAAATGCTGGAAAAACAGTACCTGAAATCAGCGCATCTATATGCACTTTATCACCAGACTTTCAATGAAAATGCCAGCTCCTTCTAGGGTGCTTGATGATGGATACACATCAGCAATGTTGACAAATGTCAGTTGTCAGCTCCTCTTTTATTTATTTATTTATTTTTTTGAGATAAGGTCTTGCTATGTGACCTAGAACTTGTGATCCTCCTGCTTCCACCTCCTGTGTGCTGGGATAACAGGAGTGCTACCATATCCTGACTTCCTTCTCCTAACTCTTTATTTCATATAATCTTAGCACTACAAATTCAACAACGCTTCTCTTGAATTGTTTTACAATTTTCAGTAAGTTGGTTTATTTATCATTTTATTTATTCTTGGCAGCACTGAAGTTCTAAGTATTGAACTTAGAACCTTATGTTTGCTAGGCAGGTGTTCTCCACTTAAGCCACACCTCCAGCCTTTCTTGAATTGTTTTTGCAGGTTAAGTCTTAGTCCTGGGATGAGTTGGGACTGACTGAAAATCAAAGAACTGAGATTTGCAAAGGAGAAATACCCCTCCACCCTTTTCTGGCCAGTACTGGGATTTGAACTCAGGGCCTTGCATTTTCAAGGCAGGTGAATAGCATTTGAGCCATAATACCAAGCCTCCAAATTTTAATTTTAAGAAGCCAAAAGAAATGGCTTCCCTTCTTAGGCTGCTGTGATCCTCTCTTAAAGTGGTAATAATGGTCAAATGTTGGTTTCTGAAAATTGTAAATTGAATTTAAGTGAGGTTAC